CCTCCGCCCCACACCCTCCCCCCCTCGTCCCCCTCCCTCTCCCCTCTACCCATTGTCTTCAAGGCTTAGTCCTCCTGTCCCTCCTCTCTTAAGCAGTGTTGATGGTGGGGGGGAGGGAGGCAGCATCACGGGAAGTCGCAGTGATACTCGTTCGAATCCCATTTTTCGTGGCTACCATCACTGCCTCCTCCTCACCCCCCCCCCGTCACCCCTCCCAACATTGACCATTACCCCCAGTGTTCATCCTGTTCCCTCCCTCCACCCCTCTACTCCACCCAACCAACCCTCTCTCTACCTCCCCTCGTGCTCTCTCTCTCTCTCTCTCTCTCTCTCTCTCTCTCTCTCTCTCTCTCTCTCTCTCTCTCTCTCTCTCTCTCTCTCTCTCTCTCTCTCTCTCTCTCTCTCTCAAGCCCCCCTCAACCTAATGTCTCATCTCAACCAGCCATCATCGTCTCCCCTTATCTCCCCTTCCCCCCCCCCTCCCTCCCTTTATGGCTTATATTCAACCCCTTCTCATACGCCTCATCTCAACCTCCCCCCCCCCCTCCCCTCATTTCCTCCCTCTCTTGATCCCCATTTCTGTCCCCTCTCACCCCCCTTTCCCTCTTCTATTCCCCTTCCCAAGAAACCCTCCCTAACACACACAAGACCCTTAACAACTATCAAAACATGTACACAAGCATCTGAATGTGTGCATGTGAATGCTACAACTTACACACACATGTGGTGATCGGACATGATCACCACATTCAAGATTCTCAAGGGAATCGACAGGGTAGATAAAGCCAGGCCATTTAACATAAGGGGCACATGCACTAGGGGACACAGGTGGAAACTGAGTGCCCAAATGAGCCACAGAGATATTAGAAAGAACTTTTTAAGTGTCAGAGTGGTTGACAAATGGAATGCATTAGGGGGTGATGTGGTGGAGGCTGACTCCATACAGCATTAGGAAGTAATGTGGTGGAGGCTGACTCCATACACAGTTTCAAGTGTAGATATGATAGAGCCCAATAGGCTCAGAAATCTGTACACCTGTTGATTGACGGTTGAGAGGCGGGACCAAAGAGCCAGAGCTCAACCCCCGCAAACACAACTAGGTGAGTACAACTAGATGAGTACACATCGTGCAGCAAGGTTGACAGCCCGCCTGCTGTCATAACGAATCTTCCTGTCCTCTGCTGTCTTCAGAAGGAATGCAGAGCAGAACACTACGAATCAGTGGTGTTCGCTGATGTCGAGACTCGACATCAGCGAGGCACTACACATCAAAAAGTCAACAGCAGCAATCAACAACCAATTAACGCATAACTATATTCTACCCACTTCATGACCCCGAACCAACGTAGGAGCAGCAAGAGGAAGTACGGGCCAATAGGCCTTCTGCAGTTACTGCCATTCTTATGTTCTCATACCCATTGATTCGGGTTCTGGCATAGTTCTGTCACCTCACCCAAAACTTTTGTGCCATATCACCTCGCCCAAAACGAATATAAGTATGATGTATGTTATGTGTAAACTAAGTCTTTGAAAATGTAAGAAGCATTACGAAACGCGTTTAGGCGTCAGACCAAAAATAAAGAATGAATTTTGGAGAGTTAATTTTTCAATTACCCTCGACAGTCAGTGAAGAAAAACGTAAGAAATATTGAGAAGATTCGTGTTAGAATTATTAATCTTACCCTTTCGGCCATATTCAACAACATATATATATATATAGTTCATGGGATTGCTTGCAGTAATATGGTAACAATGGACACTAGGGAGCCGGTCGGCCGAGCGGGCAGCACGCTGGGCTTGTGATCCTGTGGTCCCGAGTTCGATCCCGGGCGCCGGCGAGAAACACCGTGACAAGGGATAAGGTGACTGTTTTAAGGTACCCCTCCAGAGGCCATTTGCCAGGGTTTGTTTAAGCATAAACTCGGTGCCCTGAGAGCCATTTGTCAGCAATTAGACCAACACTACCAGAAGATAGAGCTTGAGAGTGTGTTGTAAAATTAAAAAAATCCCATTAAAGTAAATATGTAAATAAAGTAATTAATTACTACGGGTAAATAAATAGGAGAAACTTAATAGGATAAAGAATTACTTTATTTCGAAAGTTCACAAAAGAATATTAACAAGAACAGACCATTAGAAGCGAATTGGGCTGTTGTCGGTGGAAGGGTCGTGGTGGTGGTTGTTAGTGGGAAGGTGGTTGTGGTGGGGGTTGTCAGTGGAAGGGTTGTGGTGGCGGTTGTCAGTGGGAAGGTGGTTGTCAGTGGAAGGGTTGTGGTGGTGGTTGTCAGTGGGAAGGTGGTTGTCAGTGGGAGGGTTGTGGTGGTGGTTGTCAATGGGAAGGTGGTTGTGGTGGTGGTTGTCAGTGAGAAAGTTGTGATGGTCAAACCAATGTAGACAACTTCCTACATGAAATGCTGGAGCAATCGGGTTGTTGTGGATATGTGGACCTCCGAACTGCTCCAAGCAACAGTCTCGTGGATCAGACTTTCACAAGTCTGGCACCAGGACTCCCGGCACCCCCCCCCCCCCTTCCCCCCTGCATGAACTATCCAGGTACGGATTTGAAGACCTTGCGTTAGTTCCTAGGATCAACGTCGCCGAGGCCCGCACTTGTGTAATTGGCTGTTAACGACTGGCGCGGAATTGTTCTTAATTATATGACTCAGTAAGCTGTTAGTGTGCCTTAATGCATCAATGATATAATTATATAAACCCGCTAAATGCAGCATTTTATGATTTAGCTTCTTGTGTCCTTAATGTGATATTCATGTAACCAACGTACACTTTGGGTCGTATTATTGGCAATTGTCGATGCGTGTTGCTATCATTGGTTATGATAAACTTATACAAGATAACCTGGCTGGTTATGGTGACATCATGTGGTTACATCACATGGGCTGTGACGTCAGCGGTCGTGTTGATATTTAATATGACCTTTAAGAGTGACATCAGCTGATGTCACCACTATCAGCAAATCGTAAAATATAAACCCCAAAAAAGACAAATTTACGTTGGTATAATGAACTTCAAATTCTGACATTGACATCACTGAAACTTTAATAAGGATTCACATATTCATTTTACATTTTCTTGTAGGATTCAGGGTAAAAAAAAAAAAAAGTGACAAGAAAAATACCAGAAATGGTCCCTTAATGTTTTGTATACATGATGATGCAACATCCACAATATTATTCTACTTATCTTTACGTATAATAACAAGGTTTATCATTTTATTAGGAACAGAGCCAGATTTAAAATCCTGGTAAATATAGGTTGTGTTTTTAAGCAACCACCCCCCATCCGACCTCCCCTAATTTCCTTACAGATGTATGGTAAAAATGTCATGTGGCAGTTACCGGACTCTGCACGATTGATTAAAATACACCATATGACGTTCGCCGTTGTTTAAGGGTTGACGGTCATAGTTGCAACATTGACCTCATTGCTTGCCTCAGAGTGACCAAGCCTCATTTGGTCCAGTGAGGAACATCATATTATTTACCAAAATGCCTCAATTGGAGCAGCGAGGGAGCCTCACTTGGGGCAGCGAGGGAGCCTCACTTGGGGCAGCGAGGGAGCCTCACTTGGGGCAGCGAGGGAGCCTCACTTGGGGCAGCGAGGGAGCCTCACTTGGGGCAGCGAGGGAGCCTCACTTGGGGCAGCGAGGGAGCCTCACTTGGGGCAGCGAGGGAGCCTCACTTGGGGCAGCGAGGGAGCCTCACTTGGGGCAGCGAGGGAGCCTCACTTGGGGCAGCGAGGGAGCCTCACTTGGGGCAGCGAGGGAGCCTCACTTGGGGCAGCGAGGGAGCCTCACTTGGGGCAGCGAGGGAGCCTCACTTCGATGTCATTTTTGCCAATGATAACTATTGTATAAAATTTGTGTGGATCTCATCCCATGTTGGAGTTGGAAAACATGACTTTGTAGATCGATTGGCCAATGAGGCTTGCAGGAAAGAAAACGTTATGACTTTAAACTATTTAATGCAGTTATCAGAAACTCTAAAAAAGCTTCCCAGTAGGGCAAAAATACAGCATAGTGGCAACCGAGATAATCTATTGTAGAGATTGCTTCCTAAAAAACGCTTTCAGCATCCGATGGCAAAACACAGCATTACCAGGATAAACACACAGCATCACCAGAATAAACACTCGCAGCATTACCAGGATATGCGCACAACATTACCAGGTTATACACACAGCATTATGTGGATAAACACAGCATCATGAGGATAAAAACTCACATCATTATTAAGATATACACACTCACAGCATTACCTGGATAAACTCACGATAACCATGTGTCCAAACTCAGCACAGCAACTAGGACCAAAACACAGCTACCCTTGGGCTTACCACACTCAGCAACCCTGAGTGTAAACACACTTGCTACACCTACCTCACTCTAACACACAGCAATCACCAAGCCACCTCCACGTCCTGTCGTGCTTGGGGGCTCCTTTGATGACTACTCAATTTGGTCGCTACAAGTCGTTGTTTTACGTAAATTTAAACAAATTTTTTAAAATGTCAATCTTCCCGGTTTGTGGGTAAAGATCTGACGACTTCGGAACATGTGGAATTGAAAGCAACTTGGGGTTAGTGGGGATTGTTGTTGCTGTTTTTATGCCGGTGGCCATTTTGAAATGCCCAGGGCGATGGGTGATTGTGGCCATGGCCTGAGCCCCTCGCTCTCCATCCTGGTGCTTGCAGGGTATATTATGTGGGACAGTTTGTTGCTATACTTAATTTTAATTGGGGTCTCGGTAAGAATATGTGAGTGTCTTATTTTGGTGTTTAGTAAACCTTTTGATGCAGATTCAGGCTTACAGTTGCAAGTTTAGAAATGTGAAGAAGTTTCTGTAATAGTTGCAAGATGAACTTTTGATGTGTTGCTGATAGTGTTATGGTTGTACAGGCCAAGGTAGGTGTTTATTATGATTGTTGACAGTGTTGCAGAGATTTGTATTACAGAGTATTGATTTGATTTGTATGTATTGCAGAGTATTGTGGAGCGGCGGCTGAGGACAGGATGGCAGCTGCGTGCGTCCGGTGATGTCGCAGGATGGCGGCAGCCAAGGCGGGGGCGGCGCGGGCGGCTGTGAGGGGTCGGGCGCCGCCAGCAGCCCCCAGGGTAGCGCCATCACCCTGGCCGTACCCCGGCCAGACCACCAGCGCACCACTAACCTCTACGTGGACACACCCTTCAAACACCGCGTGGCGCCCCGGCCGCGCCCCACGCACCACCACTCCAGCACTCCCACCTCGCGATCCCACCTCGACCTCGCGCTCGTGCACGGCGCACCTGCGCGCTCCAGCGGCAAGCGGCCTGCCAAGCTCACATCTTCTCACTCGAGCGTGACCGCGGTGCCCGTTAAGGGCAGCACTAGTGGAAGCACGACACTGCAGCAGGCGCAGCAGCAGCAACAGCCGGCTGGATCCCGCACACCAGTCATCAGCAAACAGCCGGCGGCCATAACCTTTACTAAGGGCGGGCGGGAGGATGCTGATGGCGAGTCCATCATCTGCTCATGGTGTGGGCGGTGTCGCTGTGAGGCGTGCACCCGGCCGCGGCCCCCGCCTGCGGCCTGGCTCTGCCGCAACAAGTGCCTCTGCTCGCCTGCAGCCGCAGTCGACTATGCGTCATGTTTGTGCTGTGTTAAAGGCGTGCTTTACCACTGCGGTAAAGACGGCGAGGCCGGCCTTGCCGCAGCCGCAGATCACCCGTGTTCGTGCGGGGGACCGCATGCGGTACTGGGGTGGGCGTGCCTAGCCCTGGCCTCCATACCCTTGCCCTGCCTCCTCTGCTACTGGCCGCTAACAGGGGCGCGCCGCCTCCTGGAGATGACCTACCAGCGCTGCACCAGCCACGGGTGTCGGTGTCCCCAGGGGCGGCCGCCACGCCTCCAGCCGCCGCCGCCACCGCCACCGCCGGAGAAGCGGCCGTTGCACGACTGCGCGTGAGGCGCAGAGAGCCGCAGGTCACCCTCTCAAGCTTTAATACCCCGGGGCCAGGGTGGCCGGCCCGTGCCCTCCCCATACCCGCCAGGAGGGCGGCCTCAGGGGCACGTCGCTGGTGGCGTGGGCGCGCGCTCTCCCCCTAGTCACGGGCGTCGCGGGCCACAGCCGGTGGGCGTCTCGGGCCACAGCCGGTGGGCGTCGCGGGCCACAGCCGGTGGGCGTCGCGGGCCACAGCCGGTGGGCGTCGCGGGCCACAGCCGGTGGGCGTCGCGGGCCACAGCCGGTGGGCGTCGCGGGCCACAGCCGGTGGGCGTCGCGGGCCACAGCCGGTGGGCGTCTCGGGCCACAGCCGGTGGGCGTCGTGGGCCACAGCCGGTGGGCGTCGTGGGCCACAGCCGGTGGGCGTCGCGGGCCACAGCCGGTGGGCGCCGCGGGCCACAGCCGGTGTCAGCGGCCACATTCAGGGATCAAGGCCGTGGGCAGCAGGTGGGGCAGCCGCCACGACGGACACGCCCACACATCATTATTAATTTATTCAACAGTTTATCATGGTGTTACTTTTGGGCGGGGGAGGGCGTGTGTTGGGCGGGTAGCAACAGCCGCCCTCAGTTACGGTGGGCAGAGTGGGTGGGGAATGGTGTGCTGAACGCCACTCCTGGCCCGCCCTCGCTTCCCCGCCCATTGGTGGTGCTGCTGCGCCTTCTGCTGCTGGCGTGGCCAGTGTTGGTGCTCCCCTCGACCACAGCCCCAACACCACCCCTTCCCCAGGGGCTCCACCAGGGTGACTGCGAGTGGGCCACCCCAGTACCTTCAAAGTGGGCCACCCCAGTACCTTCAAAGTGGGCCACCCCAGTACCTTCTAGTGGGCCACCCCAGTACCTTCTAGTGGGCCACCCCAGTACCTTCTAGTCGATCAGTTAATGTTGTTGTGCGGATGTTTTTGCGACGAAAAGAACGCCCGACATGGCTTCCCTCCCCCCCCCTCACCCCCCCTTGTGTCAAGTGATCAGGGAGGGAGTCTACTCCTTCCCTCCTGTGTCCCCCTCTCTCCCCCTTCCTCCTCCCCTCAGTGACTGTGGGCGCAGACAGGCGCCACAGCCGGGCCTGAGAGATGCCACCTTATAGAGGCTATATTTTCTGGCCATCGTTGCTGCAACTACTGTGTGATTGAGTGACCTCATTCTGGCTTCCAATGAAAGGAAAATAATGTTCTATAGAGAGAGCTAGTGCTGTTGACGATGTGACATCACACACACGTCACTGCTGGATGCAACTGTGGAGATGTCACAAGAAAGATGGTGGGAGGATAGCGACTGGTGCTGCTGCTGCTACTTTGTACTGTTCGTGCACAAAGTGGAGGGCAGCAGTGCACGACCACCGCCCTCAAGTGGACCTCAGCGTGGACAGAACACTCTAGTGACCATATACAAAAGGCAACACAATGGGAAAGTTTTGGAGGACAAATAATTAGCGTTTGGTCACTCGTCAAGTGTTTATGGAAGATTGTGTTTGGATCCAAGATGGCTATGAATGTTTATATTATATATATATATCTATATATAGATAGCTAAATGCCAGAAACAGATTTTGTGATGCGATGTGTGTGTGAGAGTGAGTGAGTCGAGGGACAGATATATTTTGTAAATTGCACCGTGAATATCCTTGTCAGAGAAGAGTTATTTAGATTTTTGTCCTTGGTGTTTAGTTCGTTAGGAGAGTCGGTCAGCTCCTGCATGTGATATTGGTGGGTGGCGGCGACCTCCTAAGGGTGGGGTGGGGGGAGATGGGTATGTCATAAAGCTATAAAAGCCTGTCACGAAGAGAGGGGACGTGGTGGGTCGTCCTTCGTGGTATTCGGGCCCAGGTTGTTGGGGGTGAATCAGTGCCAGGTGTGCCAGTACTCTGCAGCCTCCCTCCTCCTCCTCCTCTCATCTTTGGGCAGCGAGTAGTGTTCAGGATGCCTCAGATCTTGACAGCTTGGCTCAATATGTGTTGGATCTTGAGTGCCATGAAGCCTCGCTTGTTCTTAAGAAGTGCTGTTGTGAGGAGCAGCTTAGGTTGCACTAGCTCTGGCATTGAGTTCACTTTACCTGCCTTTTGTCACAAATTAACCAATATCCGATGTTAACAGACTTCCTCTTGTGTTCAGTTTATGTTTGCACATACATACATACATACATATATATATATATATATATATATATATATATATATATATATATATATATATATATATATATATATATATATATGTCGTACCTAGTAGCCAGAACGCACTTCTCAGCCTACTATGCAAGGCCCAATTTGCCTAATAAGCCAAGTTTTCATGAATTATTTGTTTTACGACTACCTAACCTACCTAACCTAACCTAACCTAACTTTTTCGGCTACCTAACCTAACCTAACCTATAGAGATAGGTTAGGTTAGGTTAGGTAGGGTTGGTTAGGTTCTGTCATATATCTACGTTAATTTTAACTCCAATGAAAAAAAATTGTCCCTATACGTAATGAAATGGGTAGCTTTGTCATTTTATAAGAAAAAAATTAGGGAAAATATATTAATTCAGGAAAACTTGGCCTTTTAGGCAAAGCGGGCCTTGCATAGTAGGCTGAGAAGTGAGTTCTGGCTACTAGGTACGACATATATATATATATATATATATATATATATATATTATATATATATATATATATATATATATATATATATATATATATATATATATATATATATATATAATATTTTATATATAATATGTGTGTGTATATGTAAGCATACACATGTATTACAAAAGAAGCTCTGTTCTCTCACCACGTCCCATTGCGTATTTTTCTACTTGATTTTTTATTGTATGAATGTTATGGAGAAGAGGGGGGGAAGGGGGAACAAGGACCCCCTCCCACGTCCCCCTCTTCCCTGCCACCCTAAGAAGGGGCTGACCCCTCTTCTCCACTCCTTGTCTTCCCCCCCCCCCCACACATGAATGAGTTTTGGAGCCCCCCAATAATTGTCTTTTGTTAAAGGGGGGGAGGGGGAGTAATCGGGCCACGTTTCACCTCTGTTGCTTTGTTGAATACAGATTTATTGGATAAAAAAAATGTTTTAATGTGAAGTTATTGTACAGAATTGTCTAGAGAGAGAGAGAGAGACAGAGGATTGTTAATGGTGTATAATTCTTCTTGTATAACTGCTTTGTATGTTTGAAAGACTATATTGGCAGTTATTGTATGTATGTACATAATGAATATTGAAATAATAACGAAAGATGAAATTTTGCCAGTTTGTTTGATAATTATTCCTTAATTACACCAGGTAATGTGTCCATCAGTATGTTTATCCTGTGGCAGTGACGCTGAAAATGATTACCTTATGAGATGGTGATTCTCCTATCGTCTGATAGTGATCCACTTGTCAGTTCATAATGATCTCCTTATCAATTTATAGTGAACCCTTACGAACTGCATTGATTCGGGATCCGATCTCCTCATATGATATTCATCCCCTTATAAACTGATAATACTGATATCTCCGTACAAACTGATATTCACCTTATAAAGGTGAATATCACTATCACATTGTTGATAGTGATCATGGTGGTATGATGGCGTGATTCACTTAACAATTAACTATATGTGCAAATTATTCGTTATAAACCTTGATTCACTTTTGATTAATAATGACTGGTTGATCATAGTCTTGTTGATTGGATTATTGATGCCCTAACTGGCTAATCACACACGTGACTTACTGTAAGTTTAAGATCTGACTAATTCTAGACCTCTTGAGTCCATATATTGTCCCAGTGGCGTAGTGGTAAAGCACTCGTCCGGCACTTTGGCCTGGGTTCGTATCCTGACCGGGTGCCAATCCTTAGCTAAAAAAAATGGATTAAGACTACAAATATGCATTTGAAGGAGATAAGAATTAAAGAGACAACTTAAAATCTATTGGCCCGTACGAGGCAGAGACTTTTATAACTATCCAAACTCATTCATATTCAGTATGTCTAACCTACGCTTGAAACAAACCCACGTCTACTATGTTACCTGGCAACCAATTCCACATACCAACAGCCCTGTTTCCAAACCAGTATTTACCCAGGTCTTCCCCTGGATATAAACTTATCCAATTTGTATTCCTTGTTTCGTATTCTATTTTGTGTTGAGTTAAAATCGTATCCATACCCAGTTGTTACAACCTTCCATCCATACCCACACTTCCCATGCAAGTCTTGCGGAGAGTACTTGAAAAAAGACTCCTTGACTGTCACGAGGACCACAGGACTCTCCTTGACTGTCACGAGGACCACAGGACTCTCCTTGACTGTCACGAGGACCACAGGACTCTCCTTGACTGTCACGAGGACCACAGGACTCTCCTTGACTGTCACGAGGACCACAGGACTCTCCTTGACTGTCACGAGGACCACAGGACTCTCCTTGACTGTCACGAGGACCACAGGACTCTCCTTGACTGTCACGAGGACCACAGGACTCTCCTTGACTGTCACGAGGACCACAGGACTCTCCTGGACTGTCACGGGGGTCACAGGACTCCTGGACTGTCACGAGGACCACAGGACTCTCCTGGACTGTCACAGGACTCTCCTGGACTGACACGGGAGTCACAGGATATGAGTAATGTGGGGCAGGATATGGGTGGTGTGGGGCAGGATATGGGTGATGTAGGGCAGGATATGGGTTGTGTGGGGCAGGATATGGGTGACGTGGGGCAGGATATGGGAAGTGTGGGGCAGGATATGGGTGGTGTGGGGCAGGATATGGATGGTGTCGGGCAGAATATATGTGGTGTGGGGCAGGATGTGGGTGGTGTGAGGCAGGATATATGTGGTGTAGAGCAGGATATGGGTGATGTAGGGCAGGATATGAATGGTGTTGGGCAGGATATGGGTGATGTAGGGCAGGATATGGGTGGTGTTGGGCAGGATATGGGTGATGTAGGGCAGGATATGGGTGGTGTGGGGCAGGATATGGGTGATGTAGGGCAGGATATGGGTGGTGTGGGGCAGGATATGGGTGATGTATGGCAGGATATGGGTGGTGTGGGGCAGGATATGGATGGTGTCGGGCAGAATATATGTGGTGTGGGGCAGGATGTGGGTGGTGTGAGGCAGGATATATGTGGTGTAGAGCAGGATATGGGTGATGTAGGGCAGGATATGAATGGTGTTGGGCAGGATATGGGTGATGTAGGGCAGGATATGGGTGGTGTTGGGCAGGATATGGGTGATGTAGGGCAGGATATGGGTGGTGTGGGGCAGGATATGGGTGATGTAGGGCAGGATATGGGTGGTGTGGGGCAGGATATGGGTGATGTATGGCAGGATATGGGTGGTGTGGGGCAGGATATGGGAGGCGAGGGGCAGGATATATGAGGTGTGGGGCAGGATATAGGAGGTGAGCGGCAGGATATATGAGGTGTGGGGCAGGATATGGGAGGTGTTGGGCAGGATATATGTGGTGTGGGGAAGGATATGGGTGGTGTGGAGCAGAATATGGGTGGTGTGGGGCATGATATGGGTTGTGTGGGGCAGGATATGGGAAATGTGGGGCAGGATATGGGTGGTGTGGGGCAGGATATGAGTGGTGTGGGGCAGGATATGGGTGGTGTGGGGCAGGGTATGGGTGGTGTGGGGCAGGATATGGGTGGTGTGGGGCAGGATATGAGTGGTGTGGAGCAGGATATGGGTGGTGTGGGGCAGGATATATGTGGTGTGGGGCAGGATATATGTGGTGTGGGGCAGGATATGAGTGGTGTGGAGCAGGATATGGGTGGTGTGGGGCAGGATATATGTAGTGTGGGGCAGGATATGGGTGGTGTGGGGCAGGATATATGGGGTGTGGGGCAGGATATATATGAGGTGTGGTACAGGATATGGGTGATGTGGGGCAGGATATATGTGGTGTGGAGCAGGATATGGGTGGTGAGAGGCAGGATATGGGTGGTGT